AGCTGCAGCAGCCCCGGTATCCCCGGGTGACTTGACATGTACCACAGGCAGAGGCCTTGGTTTCCCCAATGGCTTTGGAGTTGCTGGATGACGCAGCCTAGAAGTGTGGGGGTTATACTATCCCATTGGACGAAGTGTGCTGGTGAGTTACAGGAGTTAGGAAAGAACTAACAAGCCAATGAGTTACATGGTCCTCCGCCCTTCCCTGGACCCTGTGTAGTCTGTCTGTGTCAACCCAGGCTGCTACAACAAAACACCATAGCTCAAGTGGCTGATACCCAGAAACATTGCTTCTTTCAGAGTTGGCACCTGGGGAGTCAGGCATCAAGGCCCTGGCAGGACTAGGGTGTGTGTGTGTGTATGTCAGTGGGGGTCTCCTGGCTTCCTAGGTGACTGCCTTCTCCTTGTATCCTCTCCTGGCAGAAGAGAATGATCCCGCTGTGGTCTCTTCTACCAGGACACCAGCTTCATCCACAAGGCCTCTACCCTCCTGACCCTGTCACTTTCCTAAAGCCCCAACTCCCAGTTCCACAGCCTTAAGGGTTAGGGTTTCAATGCACGAGCTCTGGAGGACGCACACATTTAGACTGTGGCTTAATCTCTGAAAACTTCCTTGTGACTGAGCAACCGGTGGTGCTATTTTGTGAAGCTGGGTAATGTATCCCTTCTATACATAGTCACACCTGGCTGTATATTCACAGTTACTTCCTTCCAGACCGGGGACAAAACCAGTGAGTGCTGAACAAGTTTTCTTCTGCCTAACAAAGAGTGTAATCAGCTCAGAACCCTCACATTTTGCTGGACTAATTTTAGCCTTTTTCTGGGCTAACAAGCCTTTCAGGCTTAGTGGTCTCACTTTTAACCTTTGTGTGGCTTGCAACATAGGGCAGCAAAGCAGAGATGTGCAGGGCCTCTGTGCTGGTCCAGAGCTACTTGACACTGCCACTGCTGGGTGCACCCAGCACTGAGACATTATTTTCTCGTCAAAATGTGATGAGTACCGAAGCCCATGAGAACCGAGGTACAGCTGTATTGCTAGCCTTCTCCCTCTCTCAGGCCCAGTGATTATATCACCAATAAATGCTTCGGTGCCTGAGATGTGCTTCAGGCCCTGTGTTCCCAGGAACCTGGAGCAAGATAGCATGTGAGAGAGCTCTTGTGTAGGTTTAAATGATATTTTGTGTTTAGCATCCAAATGTGTAGGAAATACCAACACACATGTTGTGGTGGAACTGAATGAATTTGTATGTAAACACATAAACCGATGAGGAAACATCTAGAGAGGTGGTCAGAGCCATGGAGTCCATGCAATGTTAAAGTGAATGCCTTGGCTGAATGTGGTGGCGCACACCTGTGATCCTAGCACTCTGGGAGGCAGAGGCAGGAGGATTGCAAGTTTGAGCCCAGCCTGGACAATTTAGTGACCTGATAAAACCCTGTCTCAAAATAAGAATAAAAAAGGACTGAGGATGTAGTTTAGCACGAAAGCCACACACACACACACACACACACACACACACACACACACACACATGTATTTGTCCTCTCCAGCTGCATTATAAAAGACCACACAATGCTGTGGCTGGGAACAGCACCTGTTTATTATTTCCCAGTTTGTAGGTGGCTCAGGAACCTGCGAGGAACTTTCACGTAGCTGGTGATTCTGCCTTGGGAGGCCGTGGTCAGTGTAGGGAGGTGACAGGGATAGGGGAGGCTCAAGGCCCAGTTTGAAGGGCGGGCACTGCTTAGGATCAGTCTGCTGGTGCTGGCACACAGTGGGCAATGCAAGGCAGCCTTGTGACTTGGCAGTGGCCTTCCTCCAGGTACAGGAAGAGCGAGCCCCTAAGAGGAGCTGTAGCTTTTGTGTACTGAGTCTTGGAAGTGGCATCCTGCCATTTCTGCCACAGTCTATCCTTTTATTTTTGAGACAAGGTCTTGTTATATAATTTAAGCTGGCTTTGAATTCACTAGGTAGCCCAGGCTGGACTTTAAGGCAATTCTCCTGCCTCAGCCTCCTTAGTGGTGGGTTTACAGGCATGCCCCACCATGCCAGGCACCCAATTCTGTTCTTCGGAAGTGAGTCAGTAAATCCACCTACATTCGGGGGAGGTGATCATACAGGGTGTGAATGCAGGGGTTATTTTTGAGGCTGCCCACCCAGTCCCCACACGTGTTATCCCACCATCCCTTGCATCAATTCTAGCAATTACTCAGCTAAAGCTGAACAATTCTTGCTATTTTTGTTTTCGGTGGTGCAGGATCTGAACATCCTGATTCTCCCAGCTTTGTTGGTGACAGGATTTTGCATAGTGCTGGGACAAGTGTGGCATTCACATGGACCCAGAGGTGGGTGGATTCTGGGAACAGCAAAGGGACAGGTCATCCTGGAGCATCCTGAGGGGGAGGCGATGGGCCAGAGAAATAAGCACTGTGCGTTCCAGGCTACTAAAGCCATCTTGCCTTTGCAAAGAGGCAGAGAAGGACTTAGCACAGCACCGGTCACTCCATGTGACCTGTTGTGTGTGAGGGACAGCTGCAGTGTGAGCTGAGGGAGATGGGTTCTCTGTCCTCCACGTGGAGTTTATTCATAAGTAACCATAGCTGCAGAAGGTAACCACGACAAAGACATTTGGGGACCATCATGCATGTTCCGGAGCCACGAGTGAGTGCCCCACACCCACATCAGCTGGGAATAAGGCAGGGCAGGCTCTGACCACCAGGCTGGGCCAGCTCCTGGGTGCAGTCCAGCATCCAGGTCCTCCCACAACCCCAGGTGCCCCGAGGCACTTGGGAGCAGTATTGTTTGTGTGTTTAAATTAGACTTGATTATTTGGAGCAGTTTTATTTTATTTTATTTTATTGGTATCGGGGATTAAACTCACAACCTCATGCTTGCCAGGCAGATGCTTGAGCCACTGAGCTAAATCCCCAGCCTAGGGCAGTTTTTGAGTCATAGCAAAATGAAGTGGAAGGGACAGATTTCCTGCATATCCTCATTTCCCTTCTAATCCCGCTTTCCGTGTGTGCATGTGTGCTGTGTATGTGTGTGTGTTGCTAGGCACAGAGCCTTCACCCTGAGCTGCATCCTCAGCCTTTTCTATTTTTTTATTTCAAGACACTAAGTTGCTAAGTTGCCTAAGCTGGACTGGAGTTTGTCATCCTCCTGCCTCAGCCTCTCAGAGAGCTGGTATTATAGGTCTGGGCCACTGTGCCTGGTTCAGCAGCAGCTTTTAAAACATTTGTTTTGGAGCAAAGCAGGGGTCTGGGGAAGGAGAGGCTATGGCTTCTGGAGGAACCCAGGTGAGATTCTCAGTCTCATGAAGACCACATCAAGTCCCCCTGTCACAGCAGTGGAGTCCCCAGCTGCTGGTGGACCAGGCCCAGGACCAAGCAGCCATAGCTGTGATCCTGCTTAATCTCACCTATTTGCTTTTCTCTTCCATTTGTTTGTATTTGTTTTGTTTCATATGATTTTTTGAGATAAAGTCTCCCTATGTAGTTCAGGCTGGCCTTGAACTCACTGTGTAATCCACTGGCCACATGCGTGCAAAGTGGCTCCTCCCTGTTGATGACGCTTCTTTAGTGACAACTGCAATTCACAAGCGCTTGACAGTTTACAAGGCTCTTCTACGTCTACTACTTCAAGGTGATCCAACTGCAACGACATTATTTTTATTTCACAACCAAGCATCAGTTTTTCCTTCCTGCTAAAGACTGCTTCCCTCAGGTTTTAGCTAAGTAAAAAGTCTATAGTGCAGGGGTAGGGCCCTTACTGGAGCCCTTACCTCAGGAGGCTGTGGGTCCAATCCCAAGCATCAGAAGGAAAGAGTCCCTGTGATAAGACTCAATTCTGGGGTCAGAAGATCAGAGGTTCTGGATGACTCACACCCAAGAGGAAATAAATCTGGCTCCCAAGACAACCTCAGAAAGACTTGCAGTGAGGATGGCAATCTCACCAACCCAAAAGCATCCTTTTGTACTTGGTCCAAAGATTTGGAGCTCAGTCCTTTAGGTAAATGATTATGGTATTTTTTTTTTTTATGTCTTTTTTCCTTTTTATCGGTACCGGGGATCGAACTCACGACTGCCTGCTTCCAAGGCAGGCACTTATGCCGCTCAGCTAAATCCCCAGCCCCAGGTAAATGACTGTGAATTTTCTGATTCAACTAAGGAGATGGCGAGGGGTTGTATGGACCCTAACTGAAATATTAAGGATCAGGCAGCAAATGGGGACTCTAACTGGGCTTGAAACTCGGGGTCCCCACCCTGAGCTAGGCTGAGGGTAAAAGCTGGGGAGTCTGAGACAGAACTGTAAGAAGCTCAGCCAGTTTTTTTTTCCGGGCATTAGTCACAGAGCTCCCTCTGTCTGTCCCTGTCCTCTTCTTAGCTCCATTCTGCTGTCATGGTGATGGATGACTTCTGAGGGATGCCCCTGTCTTAATGCATCCGCTCTCCCTTCTCCAGGGAGCTGCTTTTCCTGGTGCTTCTCCCTGGATGGCTCCATTTGGATCAAGGCACCGATCTGCACCATTCTGGGGGCTCTCAGCTTCTCAAGGGTCCCACCAACCACATCCTTTTTGCAGGATCACTTTATGGACTGAGAGCCAAAACAGGCTCAGGGGTCTCCACAGCAGGAAGAAACTCAGGAAACAAGCTGGCAGCATTAGGGAAAGAAAGAGACGAGGGGAAGTGAAGAGAGCTTTTCCCCTGCATGCTATCCATAATTCATGCAGAATACCCAGAACAGTGCCAGGTACATGGCAGACACTCGAGATGCATTAGCCATCATGGTAATTATCGTCATCATTGACTTCTGAATTTCTCGTGGCCATGTGTTATTTTTCCCTTTGTGATAGTGACCTCTGAAATCTAATGGGTAACATTGGGGTTACCCCCACTTCATGGGGTCCCTTAATGGCACTGAAATGAAGCTGGTGCTCCGTAGAATTTGTCTTCTGCATCTTTCTTGTCTAAGTTTCTGTGTCTCTCCCATGTGCCTAGCAGTACGTTGATGTGGATTCAGCCTTGGACTGAGGGAGGGAGTTTCATTCCCTTGGACGTCCCAGGGAGCACATTATTCGAAAGCGGCTCTCAGGTAAGAGCACTGTTTTACCTAGGAAACAGCAGCATGGTCACTTGTGGGAGCACATGGCAGGCAGTGAGGGGCTGTGTGTTTGCAAAGGACACTGTAATTTTCTTATCTCTGGGAAGTCAAGGACTGAGAGAGCTCATCTGGATGTCACCATGAGTGTCACTAACTGTCCTCTGAATGACATCTGCCACTCTCACATGGGCTCTGTATTTCCCTGGAGACCTCGAGGTGGATGAGTAAGATGCTGACACCGCCTTCTGACCCTCTCAGATCTGCATCCTCCCTGGGGACTCGAGCCTCTTGACTTTTACACCGATGTGCACCTTTCCAGCTCAGCAAGCTCTTCACAGACATGGGCGCTGCATTGTTACCCTGAGCTTTGCCTGCTTATCTCCTGCAGTGACTGTCATCTCCCCAGTGCTTGTCCTGGGATCTGGTGAGCCTCTATGTGAGTGGCATGTCACGTAGTGTCACCTCATCCCTATTAAATAGGGTTAGGTGCTGGAGTAAGTCTGCTCTGTAGATGAGGAAGTGGCCTCATAAGGCCTATGTTTTTATTGATAGCAGACACATTGGGCGACTGTGTTAATTCTCTCTTTTCCCTCTTTAATGATGAAGACTGGAAAAGCTATATACTTTTTTTCCTTTATACCTTCCTCCCTTCCTTCCTTCTTTCTTTGCAGCTAAAAGTGGTCATCTGACGGTATTGTCCAATGAGATCTAATTGGAAATCTTTGGCTGTTTTGAGGGAAAAAAATCCATTTTCCTATAAATGGGCAGATGTTGCTGTAGTGACCTCCCTTCAATTTGTCTTGACCATGGATGTGATATCTGGAGCAGGTGCAGCTGTCTTGAGACCATTAGATTATAAAACCTAGCAACCTAAGGATGGCTGAATGGAAAGGACACTCATGGAATTTCTGGTGGCATCTTTGAGGTCTAAACTGGTAAAAATAGCCACCTACCTCTAGATGCCCACCCCTCAACAGTGAAAAGTTATGTGGCAATTCTTGGGGACAGTGAGCTGAGAGCCCTCCATCGGCAGAGTCGCAGAACTTTGCTGTGCCTTAAGGCTATGTGCTCCTTAGTGTGGCAGGAGGGGAGCTTAAGCAGGCAAATTTGCTTTCCTCATAAGACTGAGTTTTGTTTGTTTACTTATCTGTTTTTTAGAGACAGTAGGCACTCCTGGTTGGTGTTGAGCTAACTAGGTAGGCCTCAGTCAATCTCAGGATGCTCCTGCTTCAGCCTCCTGAGTGCTGCGATTACGGGCTAGCTGGACTCAGAGATTTGAACAGCGCCTGCGGTGAGCTGTCCGCCGGGGTGGTGCTGATCTGCGCATTATGCTGAGAAACTTGGGCACCGTCCAGGCTGTGGCCACCCCAGATGCTGCGGCTGACTCTGTGGCGGCAGCAAGGAGAGGCCAAAGTGTGTGCGTGTGCATGCGTGGGTGTGCAAGTGTGTGCTGCACTAGTGTGCATGCAAGCAATGTGTGTGTCTGTGACCCTTAGAACGCAAGGCGACTTTACTATTCCAGTGAGAGACACCCCTGCCACCGGGGCAAGCTCACTGGCCTTGCACTTTCGAAATAATCTTCACTAGAGGAAACAGCAGGTCTGGAAGGAGAGGGGCTGGGGTCTTTGCAGGGATCTGGAGTCAGGGACAAAAGAGCCTGAGCTCATTTCCCAGCCCCTTTGGTCCTGGGGCAGCACTCACCCGGGAACTGTGGGATACAGAGTGGGAGTGGTGCTGGTTTTCAGAGGGAGGGGGAGGCAGGCCGGCTATTGCTCTTTTCCTGAAGCATCTCGGGGATGTGTCCCGCCTGGGCCTTTGTTCATGACACAATTCTGAGGGCACCTCCAGATTCCAGGCACAGCTGCCAAATCTTGCTTTGTTTTCTGAGCATCCAGAGATCAGAACTTCCACCTTTTTACTGTCCGGTCTCATCCCAACCCTGCCAGACAGGATGTAGACCATTTCTACCCCTTATTTCCCATTTCTCAGCAAGGGCACAGTCTTGAGCCCCGCCCCCCGACAGTAACTACTAAGAAACTGCCATGGATAAAACAAAAACAAAAAACAAACATAGGCCAGTTGCTAAGTTACATGAACTCTTAAAAGCTTTTGAGAAATAGCTGGTACTGATCTTGGCTGAAATCTAAATGGAACCCTTTTTTTCCAACTCCATTTAACCCCTTTCTGATCCTTTCACTGCCCCATCTAGTGGATTCTATTTCATCCCTTGATTTCTTTTCTGATTCCCTGGTCTGGGGCTTCTGTGTCTCCTATCTTTTTAAGACCCCAGGCTCTCTCTTCCATGGGAACTGGCAGGGAAAATGGGGACAGATGCAGCAGCAGCATGGTGCAGGTGACAAGCCAGACTAAGGAGGGTCCATCTACTCTGCAAGGGGCCCTGTCCTATGCCTCATGTTACTTGGATGTTCCCTTTGGAAAGACCTCTGTTTCCACAATGTGGAGGGAGCCCATTGCAATGCCGGATAACCTTGGATCAAATATGTTGTTTTATAATGTTCAGCTTACTTCACTAGAGCCTTGCTTCCTTAAGATTACTGACCTGCAGCCCTGTTTCTGAGCATTTCTCCTTATCTTCCCACTCCATGAAAACCCCATATAAAAACAAAGGAGCAATTCTCAAGCTCCCATTACAACATTATGGTGGGCTCAATAAATATTTGTTGAACAAATAATCACTTTCTTTCTTATTCAGCCCTCAACCTTAGGCTAGAAGGGCTAGGGAGAGTACATTCTGTTCTCTAGGAAGTTAAGTCACAGAGGAGGACGTGATGATTCTAGATGGCTAATAGAACTTTCTTGTCCCCAGCTCCTTGTGCTGGACTGTTTTAGAGTCCCCACCAGGCAATGGCTCAACAGATCTTTCTATTTTTGAGTCTATGACTTGTGCTTGGACAGAGAGCAATGGATTTCTTTAAGTTGCTATGTTTCTGGAGTTAACTCCAATTGCCTTTCCTGCCTTCCTTTCCAAATTACCTAGCTTTTCTCATTGTTTGAGTCCCCCTTTAGACTCCTCCTTTTCTGTGAAGGCATCCCAAGAAATTGAGCCCAGAAGTCTCTCTGTTTAGGCACTCAGAGTCAAGATATGCAAGATCATTTGATTAATGCTAAATTACTTGTGTTTTCCATTGTTGCCAGTCAGCCAGTTAAGAACTGAGAAATTCCCTACATGTAATTGAATGAACAGCATTGAGGAACATTCTGGGTATTAGCATAGAAATCTGGAACCTTAAAATGAATGAAGAAGGACTTAGTTGTGATGTAGGCACAAACTCCTGCCCTCTGTGCTCACTCACCCTGTCTTCGGTCCGTCTCCTGGGCACTGCCCTTCACCCATCTGCTGTCTCTGTATGAGGCCCGCCTGCTTTGATGGACCCCTGGGTCTCACATACTCTTCCAGCCAGAGATCATATGTCCTTTTCTCTGTTTTGCCTAACCATTTTTCCCAAGAGTAAGACTCTACATCCTTTTGAGGGCTCCCTCACCCCTGGACCCAGTTCTCTGGCACACAGACAAGTTGCACTTTGCCAGATATCTTTGGGGTGATCTTCCCAGCACAGTCAGTTTGGAAACTTCAGCTTTGTATCTAGGTTTAACAAAGGCTTCATTAGTGTGTGATTATCCACTCTACAAAGGATTCCTTTAAATAGAAAATTCCCAGAATGGGCTTAAAATAGGTTTAATTTAACCCAAGTCCAATTTGTACACCCTGTTCAATAACACGCTGATTGTTAAAGATGAGGTACACTTGTGCTTATTTATAGACTAATTGCATGTGTGTCCTTTTCAACTCCCCACTTCTTACCTAGTAGGCCACACTCCCTCTTTCAGATTCTTCCAGACTCACTTTAGGGAGATGGTTATTTATTTCCTGATGGAAAGTGCTCCTTTGGACAGCTCCCCCCATCACTACTACCCGAGTTCAGTGGGGATTCTTTTCCACCAGAGGCTGTCCCAAGATATCAAGATACACAGCCTCTTCCATTCCACTTCTCTTTTAAAGACCTCTCTCTCTCTCTCTCTCTCTCTCTCTCTCTCTCTCTCTCTCTCCCCCCCCATGGAATCAGCAACTCCAAAATCCATACGTCATTGTCACTGTGTCTCTGGGTGCTCACACTAGGTGACATTCATGCTAATCATGGTTTTTGACGTAATAGATGGTCTTATGGCTGGTATCTACCATCAAAACCAGCAAAGGGACCTCTCCTCTTTTTAGCTGACCTGTACTTCCTATTTCACAATAGACACTGTATTAGTCTTGTTTTCTGTTGCTATAACAAAATAACTGAGCCTGAATACTTTATGGAGAAAGAAGCTTATTTAGTTCACTGTTTGGGAGGTGGAATGTCACACATTTCACTGGCTGTCGTGAACACCTCTGGTAGTGTCACATCAGGGTAAATGGCATCTGGTGGGCCTCTGTGAGAATGACAGTCCACATGGTGAGACAGGAGAGTGGCAAAGGGCCACTCTTACTGTTTTATAGCAAGCAAACTTTTCACAAGAATTATAAAAATTTCTTATGAGGGTAGTTCCTACCATCACTTCCCACTAAACATCATCTCTTAATGTCACCATTAATGTCATCCTGCTGGGGACTGAGCTTCCAACCCCTGAACTTTGAGGGCCGCACTCAGAGCATATCCAAGCCAGAGCAGCTGTCACCACATATTCTAGTGTGTGTGACACATGGTCCTCATGCCACACTCATGCTGGTAGGATTCTGGCTAATCTGGTAAAAAATGCAGGCAATATAACAAGAAAATTCAGCTTGCCATGCAGCGTTGCTTGAAAGTTATGCCTGGGATCCACAGGGTCGGTTATCTAGAGGCAATTGCTAAAGACAAGGTGGTTTATCAATTTATTCATATCATCTCATAGTTGTTTTTTCTAAAGTGTCACCCCCTTCCTCGCAAAATCTTCTCTGCTTTAACTGTGTGTCTCAAACTTTCATGTGGTGTGAATCCTGAGGGTACCTGTTAAAGTATAGATTTTGATTTAGCAAGTTGAGGATGGGGCCTAAAATTTTTATTTTCAACAAGCTCCTGAATGACGCTGAGGATGCTGTGGATCACACTGTGAGTAGCAAGGTCCCATAAATTGCATCCCTAAATGTGGCTGTGATCATGCTGTGCCCCTACTTGAAATCCACCAACAACTCCCACCTCCTCCAAGGTTAAACCCAACAGCCTTAGATGCATTAAAGGGTCTTTACAAACAGCCTCCTGCCTGTCTGTCCAGTGTTACCTGTCAAGTGCCGCTTCCTTACTCTTGCCCAGGCCTTAGTCCTCATTGACCCAGCGGACTCCCCTCAGCCTTCTAGACAGGACTCCTATGTTGCCTTTTCTGGGAATCCTTACCTGTCACCCCGAGGCTTCTTGTTTCTTCTCTGGGTTCCCCAAAGATCTGCTGTGAGCCTCAGTTGCATACTGCATGGCTGGAAAACTATGCCTGCCTTTCCTTTTCCTCATTAGTGTCAGTTCCCACGGACTCATGGATCATCATCTCTGTTTTTGTCTTTTTCTTTTTTTTATCGGTACCGGGGATCGAACTCACGACCACACACTTGCAAGGCAGGTGCTTATGCCGCTAAACTAAATCCCCAGCCCCTAATCCCGGATCATCATCTCTGAAGCTCAGACCCACTGGCCCTCAGCACAGTACCTGGCATAATTAATACATACACAAGTGGATGTGGAAATGAGCTTGCGTTTTGGCTTTTTGCTCCTTACACAGTGCTTGCTCAGCTGAGGTCAGGCTTTCTGTGATTGTCGTTTGCTAAGCTCTCCTTTGCAGAAATCTGTGTTCAAGCTTCTGTCTGGGGAGATGAATCCGATGTGCAGGAGTCGTGTCTAATTCCATGGCCTGAACATTAGCAGCAGTTAATTCATTGCTGTTGTTTGGAAAATGTTAATTAATCAACATGATTCTTCTGCTGCTCGAGGGAAAAAGTCAAATTGCTTTAAAAGCAACATTTACCTCTTCAGGTGACTAAGCTTTGCTAACTAAGACAGAGGTTTTCAATCCAAGTTGTCCATTAGACTCACCTGAGGGTCTTTTGAAAAATTCTGATGCCCCCAGCAATTCTCACATAATCAGTGTGGATGGTGAGTCTGGCATCAATAGTTTAAAGAACAACAGAGAAGATTCTTGGGACTCATGGCACCAAGTTAAGCATCATAACTAGCAATCTTTACTCTATCCTAATAATCAGCTGCCACTTATCTGATGATGGATTATTCAACTATTGTTCCTCTTTGCAAAATCTTGATTTAAATTTCTTCTTGACATAATTAACATAATTCTTGATAAAGTTCTTACTTCTTTGTATTCACTAGCTTTCATTTACTGCTTCCAAGCAGTCTGTAATTTTACTACGGAGTTCTTTTGAACCAAAGCCTGGGGGCATCAATCCCAGGCAGATGGAGAGAGAAAGCCCACTTTAAATTTCTCTCCATTAACCTTGGGCTTGTCTGCTTGGCTCTGCAGTGAACTCAGGAGTGGAGTTCAGATGAGGTCAGCGGTACAGTCTTTTAGCTTTCCTGGTATCAGTTTCGGTGGAGTAATTTCTTTGAAGCATTGTAGAATCTGAGGACCCTGGACATGATTTGTGGATTCATGATCATTTTGAAATCAAGTTGCTATTGACATCCCTTCCTTGACACAGAATAATAGTTGTAAAACCTTATCCCTCAGAACCTGGAAAAACCAGAGGGGCTTTCATTGTGGACCAGTTTTCTCCCCATATGGGACAGAAATTCAAAGGCTCCCTCTTCCCTTGTAATTGTAGGTCAGCAGAGTTCGAGAGCCCACATCTCATGCAGGGAATTTTTTTTTTTTTTTTTTTTTTTTGTCTTTTTCCTTTTTATTGGTACCGAATGCAGGGAAATTTGAAAGCATCTCATGAAGGCTGTAATGCTTTCTGGTACCAAACCCAGAGTACAAACAAGAAGGAATAGGCTGGCCAACTTTTGGTCAACTGATAGTTTAGTCATTCGTAACTTCCAATATGGTTCAGGAGAGGGTTGCTTTTTAGCTGATACACATTTCCAGTAGATTTTCTACTCCAACTTGTAAAGATGTTTCCTGGATATGATCATGGGCTTTAAAGTGGTTTTCACCTAGGTTAGCAATGCCTCGATGACACTAGAAAAAGCTGAGATTTATAGGAAAACTTTAAAAGCAAATTCACTCTAATTTACTTGAAGGTAGGTGCTGTTCTGTTGAATTTTGGATTTTTCCCTCTACCTTTCCCACCTTGCCTTGCAGATTGTAGATATTCATAAATGACAGTAAATAAATATAGCTAAATATTTTGAGTGCTTATTAGACCCAAGTACTTTATGTACAATCGCTTGTTAAATCTTTCCATTAGCTCTGGGTGCTAAAATCAGTACCCAGTTTTGCAACTGGGACTGTGGAAAATGGTTCCAGGTCATTCAGCTAGTATTCGGCCCAGGTTTGTGTGGTTACAAACTTTTGGTTTGAATTCATTTGGTTGTCTTAATATAACTCTAGAAGGCCTCTAAAACTACAAGGTGAGGGATGCAGTCTTATCACTTTCGTTGTCATTGAGACACAATACTTGACTCTCACAATTTGAAAGGTATGACAGACAAGTACGGCACAGAAGATCTGCTTACCACATGGTGGACAGGAAGCAGGGACAATCACAGGAAGACCCAGGAAGGGAGATATAACCTCCAGGTCACACCGACAGCGACTCACCTCTTCTGAACAGATCCCTGCTTCTAACAGCAAGTCAGCCATAACACCCCTCTAATCCCATCACCTTCCAAAGGCCCTGCTGGTGTCCACACGAGGCTTTGAGGGGACATCCGGATACAAACCACAACAGGTGAGATTTGTAGAAACACCGATTTCTGGGTTCTACTCTCTAGAGATCCTGACTCAGTTGGCTTGGTGTGGGTTCCAGAAATCTCCAGCCTCTCAGGTACATGCTTGGCTGAGCACGTCAGCCCAGCTTTCTTGGTGATTATAGAGAGCTGGATCTTCATCTCACATGGTTCTTGTTGAGATCCTCAAAATCATTCTCCTAGGTAGTAATGTGAGCTGATCACACATCAAGAAGATTCTTGATTGGGATGAGTACACATTTCACTGCAGTCTCTTCTGAAGTAAGTAGCTTCACCTATTTGCTGGAGTGCTCCCTCCCCATGTTACTCTCTCTAGGATTAATGAAAAATCACAGGCAAGGAAAGCTCTCTGAAGGAAGGAAGCGTGGAGCTCCTGAATACCCTTCAGCACTGTAAATTATGCTCTTGTGTATTCTCTCAGGTGTGGCGTTTCCATCAGCCTTAAATATTAACTCTTCAACGCTCTACGGAAGTGATGGCTCACATCTGGGGTGATACAGGTTCGCTTCCCCAGTGAATTCTACAGTGAGATTTAAGGAAGCACCTGAGACTCTGGACAGCAGAAGGCAACCGAGGTCTTTCTTCTTCCCACCTGCCCTGGAGAACAGGTATGACAGACAAGTGGCTGTGGAGAACAACTGTCCTTGTCCTCTCCACTATGGGGAGCTCGAGCTTCCAGGGACCATGGGTGCCATTGACAGCTCATTACTCCTTTGAAGAAAAATACTTTTAAATTGCAAAATGTATCCTACGTGTCAAAGTGAGTGTAAGATGTGTGTGTACAATCGAAGAATAACAGCAGAGCACACCATATACGACCCCTTGCAGGGCACACATAGGCCTCAGAAGCCTGGTGCATGTGCACACGAGCACACGCCCAGCCTTCCTCCCTACCCCTTCTTTCTCCAGTTTTGTTGTTATTTCAAATATTTACCACTTACACAAGAGTCACACTGCTTATATTTAACTCAAGGCAAGGTTGGTCCTAAGGGCTTAAATCTGAGCTGCCTAGATTCTACCTTAGCCTTACAGCTGACCAGCTGTACAGTAGTGGGAAAGGAATTCAGCTTCTATGTGCCTCAGTTCCCACACCTGTGAAATGGGAGCAAGCGTAGTTGCTACCTTATAGAGTTTCTGGTGCAAGCCTCTCTAACAGGCCCTGGTGTGTAATAAACACCATGATGATAGCAGTTATTGTCATGTACGTATGCTGAAATCTGCTTTCCTGTGGAACAGTGTTCACAAATGTCTAGTGAAGGGCTTTCAGGAGACATTTCCAGTCCATTGTGGTCTGATACTCTGGTAAAATAGAATAACATTGGCTAATTTTAAAAGATGAAATAAAAAGCACAGATATTCAAGTTTTTATTGTTAGAGTCAACAGAAATAAAACTACAATATCAGACTGCTGTGTTTATAAGTGATGACTTTCGATTTCTGTACTTTCTTGTCATGAGTCAAGTAAACGGCCTATACCTCTCACCAACTCACAGGTTCACCTAGTTGATCTGTCTCAGATTTCTGCACACAGATTTTTTTTGAGTCCTCCAAGTGGCCTATTCCTTTTGCAGAAAATAAACTGTTTGCTGGGTGGCCCTCTGGAAGTTGTTTATCTTAAACTGCTTTACATTTGCTAGAAATACCAATGATTTTAAAATAAACACACATTTAATAAGTGCTAGTTATCAACAGAGACCTGAGAGGTGTGTGTGTTTTATCAAGTAATAATTTCTGCTGTTAAGGAAACTCCTCTGTCCAGATAAGCAGCCATGGAGAAATGCAGATCTGCATTCTGATTTTTCGGACTCAGGATTAAGACAAGAGTGAACCTCTAGTTGTCCAAGTCCGGAAGTAGACCATGTTGAAGGTTTGTGTTTCCCCTCCTCTCTTCTCCAGCAGAGCCTTGAGCCCTATAGATGCTCGAGGGGCCCCCAGGACAGCTGCGGGCAAACACATGGCTGGTATAAGCTGAACCTGTGAATTTACCAACACGCTACCCCTTCTGATGGTGAAAAAAGGAATTTCAAAGGATCCAATCCAGTATTTCGGCTTTTAGGTTGCACCTGTTCTATCTGAGGCTGTGTCTATCTCAGCCTCTCCCTACAGATATGTCAAACAGTTCCCAGGGAACAGAGCCCTCCCATCTCCGGAAGCTCACAGAAACTCAAGTGCTGGTGGGAAGGATGACCCAGGGGTGCCCCTTTGCTCTGCGTCCTGGCCTTTCAGAGTTGCTGCTGAAACCTGGCCAAGAGGCCATGTCCTCCCATCCCAGGAAACTGGATAAACCTGGCTGAACACAACCGTGCAGACTGAAGCCAGGACTTTTGGGATCCTTTCCCAAGCCCCGTGGCAGTTGTGTGCCGTTTGGGTTTCTGACTGCATTTCTACAGGGACTGAAGTGTATCTACACTTGACTAAGATCAGAATCTAAATTGGAGTTCAGAGCTTCTTCTGAGTTGGAAAATCTCTTTATTTTTAAACTATTATTATTCACATAAGATGAGGGGTCAGAGGCTCTGTCCACCTGATGTGAAAATTATTGTTTTTAATTCTAACAACTCTGGGGCAGCTCGAATTTTAGTCAAAAATAGTCAATCAAGTGACCCTGGCTTAGCATGTGCATTTTTCAGAAAGCCCCAAGAGATGAATTTTTAGAGATTTTCTTTCTGAAAGGTGGAACATGTCAGTTTCCTTCTGCCTGAAATCAGCCTGACAAGATGCATGCCACCACTCCTCAACCTAGGGGACAGGCTGCCAGTGGCTGTCACAGGTTACTGACTCTGCGTTCTGAGGTGTGGGCCTGAGAGAGGAGGAGTGTGGTCCCTCAAGGGTAAAGTGTGTCCTTTGTGTCTCCTCCTCTGCCAGTGTCTTTTGTGTCCCCTTCGGATGTGCTGTGATGGGCTGAATTGTGTCCCTTTCCCCAAATCCATATGTTGGAGTTACAAGCCAACCTGCCTCTGAATGTGACTGTATTTGGAGGCAGGGACCCTAAAGAGGTGAAGAGGTAGGGATGCGACAGCCAGGAGAGGCTTCCGAGGAAGCCAAATCTGTAGATTCTTCCCTCTTAAATCAATCTTCAGAACTACGAGACAAGCATTTCTGTTGTTTAAACCTCCCCATCTGTGGCATTTTGTGATGGTAGCACAAGCAGACTAATACACATACAAGGCTGATCAAAAAATGTATGTGTTTAAATAAGAAAAATTTATCACAGTGAAAGACACATTGTCACTCTGCCCTCTCAAAACGCTCCTCACTTTGAACACGCTTATTCATGCATTCTTCTGGATACTTTCCGAAGCAGTCTTGGAAGTCCTCTTGCGTGAGTGTCTTTATGAGTTGTGATAAAAAATGCAGTCAATTTTGCCACTGGTGCCATCCAACAGAAAGGCAGGACCATGAGAATATCATGGTGTGTCCTCATCTATCTTATTCCCTGGACCTGGTACTCTGTGACTTCTGGCTCTTCTCCAAAATCAAATGACCATGAAAACTCAATGTTTTGAATCAATTCAGGGCATTTGAGGTAGCCATGACAGCGCAACTAGAGACAGTCATGAAAGAGGACTTCTAGAGCTGCTTCAGAAAGTGGCAAGAAAGATGGGAGATGTGAGTTTGAAGCGAGGAGGAGGATTCGGAGTAGGATTCATGGGAATGTGTCTTTTACTATAATAATTAAACATATTAAACATTCACCATAATTTTTGTTCATGCCTCAGACACACATGCAAAGATGGGTGCATGTGGCTACCTTCACAGAGATGCACACACACTGGTCTAGACAGAGACCAGCCCGAAACAGTGACACGGGCAGCACGAGCCACCCTGACACCACCTGCCACATCTCGCTGCCAGGCAGAAGGATCATGAACAGAAATTGTTCAGCTCAGCTCAGACTAACCAGTGGACAGTAACTCAAAGGGAAAAAGACTAGGAAAGTGAGCAGTTGTACAAATCAGAGAAGTGGCAAGAGAGGCAAGTCAGGGAGGCAGAAGAGCAGCAGGCTGAAGTCCACGCCTGGGACATTACCCAGGGCGGCGGACGTGGGAGTGGGGAGTGCTAAGTGCTTCAGTCTGGGCAGCAAAAGGTCTCGAAGGGTCTCAAAGCAGCTGCGTGGCTTTGGTGGCAGCACTCACTTTACCTTCCTGGTCTGTTTTTCTATCTGTGAAAGGAGGAATGTTGGAATAGCACAGTGGTTCTAGGAGATAGGTCTGCACCAGAATCATCTAGAAGGCTTAGTAAAGCATATTGGTGTCCATCGCCAACTTTCTGACCCAGTCTACCTGGGGTGGTGCTTGGTAATCTGTGTTTTTAGCAAGTTTCAAAGTGATGTTGCTGGTGCCGACCCGGAGACCCCACTTTAAGACCTACAGACCAGAGAGGGCTCTCTAGTCCTTACTGGGTCTGAAATCCAGTAACTCTGGGTGGACATCAAAATGAAATGTAACCCTGTTATTATGGTTCTCAACAAGGGAATCTTTCCCTGCAGGGTCCATTTGGCACTGTCTGCAGACATGTTTGTCACAATTTGGAGGAGATGTTACTGGCATCTAGTGTGTAGATCCAAGCATGCTGCTAACCATCCTACAAACACACAGAACAATCCCCAGGACAAAGAGTGATCTGGTTTAAAACACCAGAAGTTCCAAAGCTGAGAAACTTTGCTCCTAGTGATCCAATTTCTGGGAAGTGAGATGGATGCTGAGTTTTGATTTCTCTGGGGGAAACTTCCTCAAGGACTACCCAAGATTCTGTGAGCAGCCTTCTCCTTCAGGAAGTCCACATCCTTGACCACAGCTGGGCTGGACCACTGTGTCTCCTGGGGAACCTGCAGATCTCAGAACCCAGGGCAGGCTCCCAACAAAGCACCTGGGTGGCTCCCAGCAGGGTGCATGCCCAGAGCAACCTCCAGGGAGACCAGCAGGCTGAGCTCTAGATTAGGCCAAACTGGGTGATGATTGCATTATGTTTCGTGTTCTGATTTCACAGACTAGGAAATGAGGGCAGCCCTTTTGAGTTCTGATTTGAAGCTTCATGATCAAGTACTTAAAATACTTGCAAAATACTCTGAGCCAGGAAAAAAAAAGAGGTGTGTATGTGTGCATGTGTGTATGTGTGTGTGTGTATGTATGAGAGAGAGAGAGAGAGAGAGAGAGAGAGAGAGAGAGAGAGAGATCGTGTGTGTGTTAAAAACCACATATTCAAACCATTCCCCATTTCTGCACCTCGCCCTGCCAATTACAATCTGCTTGGTGGTGTGAAACTGACAGCCGGCAGCAGTGATGGAGACAGGAGGAACGGTGAACGAGGGCTTTGTGCATTCTTAGCTTCAGAGAGAATGTTCAGTGGGGCGGACAGGCATGTAACTGGCAGGTTTAGGAATCAGTAAAAACCAAGAACTGGAAGTCCTAATTTATCGTCTGTTTCAATACAAGGCTAGACACAGGCTATTTAATATAATGCATTGTTTACAAGTAGAAGAGAGTGGAAATTATTGATGCATTACAAATGCAGGCAAATGCATCTCATAAGCCAAGGGGTAGGTAATAACAATTGCACAGGACTAAATTTGACTTTAATCCCCTGAAGAATGGCATGCATACTGCTTAAAATGATAAAAGCTGGAGGGGGTGGGGAGAAGGGAAGCCAAGGGAGAGAAGGAGACCCAGGGAGGCAGAGGGAGGCAGAGGAGACTGAGGGGGAGACAGACAGACAGAGATAGGAGAGAAATGAGAGCTGATTTTCTCTTGGGATTATACATTGCTTGATTAGGAAATAGAATGGAAATGGAAAGAAAAGATTTTTTCCCCCCTTAAAACCTTGTTGTGATAAATAGCATCCTGCTTGGCAGGGGAACAGAGCTGGTGTTGTACGTGGTCAAGCAAGCAGCCTGGAGGACTGACAGACCTGCCGGTCTCTTAGATAATCCTGAAGGCAGGAATGGAAAACAAGTCCTTGTTTGAAGAGCACCTGCAGCCTGTCCATGTCCTGCTGACTTCCTTGAGCTCTGGTCACAGCAGCTGAGTGCACACAAGCTTGCTGTATTTGGGCTTAACCTGCCCAGCACTATGACCATAGTGCATGGTGCTTTGGACATAGAAGAGCCCCTTGAATGTTGGTAGGTTGGCTGCAGGATGCTGTCCATGACTCTGATATAGCTGGGCTCCCCATTTCGGTCTGTCATGAAGATGGCTGTCGAGGATGCGAAACAGAGCCCACTTTCTAGCCTCACTGAAGTCTGTGTGCATTGTTATTGACAGAGGTGTTGGAATTCTGGGTGGGAATTTGTGTAACAAGGCAACTCTTCATCCTGGGGCCTCCACTTCTTCATAAAATGGGATTGAATGACAGGCAACATGTTTTGGGTATGTGGCCGCTGCTGTGCTGAAAGCTCTCTGTGGCTTAAATCCATTTTAAGCAG